AAAAAACATGGATGATGAACATGAGGTGCTAAAGCATTCATTATAACACATTGAAAGGCAACTAAAAATACTCAGATTGAAAAGAAAAAACAAATAACAGGACTAAAGAAACATGATTTATCATCCGCATCCACAACATTTTATAGAAGAAAACAAAAGACTACTAATACAGTTAGTTCATTCTCCTGATGAGCTCATTTATGTAATTCTCTCTGTTCCCAGCGTCGTCTCCTTCAACATAGTGGTTTCTCTTCTTCTTCAGTCCACCTAAAGGTGCCTTGAGCTTAAATGGCCAAAGGAAGTTGTTGGCCTCCTTAAAGTGGGGGCCCACTGTCATGATCTCATGGATAAGATCCTCGGTGCAGATGATTCCATGCTTGCCCAGTGCCTAAGGAGTGAGTGATCATCAAAGCAAGTGAGCAGCATGCAATCATTAATTTCATATTTTATAGGCTTGCTCATAGTCATATCAAAGAAAACTAACAAACCTACTCAATGATGGAGTTGTCAGTTAAAGCAATTCTCTGCTTGTTGACCTTACTATAACCCCGCTTGTAAATAAGTTCCCTAACACTCTTAAGATTTGGGAATCTGAAACAAGACGATTTTTACTGTTACAGAATATACACAACATCATAAGAAAACGTAAATCACAGGAAATTTCCATACCCATAAGTCACATAAGGTTCGACTCTGTGCAGCACGTTCATGGTGGCTTTGTTAACTTAAGGAATACACCATTGAAGATCTGTTCCAGAGTCAAATAAGGACGACTGCATTGGCTTTATATATTATCTATATAACTGTGCAAGTAAAGTTCCCTAGCTATGACATTATAATCTTAGTAACAACAGAATACATGATTTCAAGATTCTCCTATTTTCTTCAATGACTTAAACAAGGATTCCCTCAGAGGCATGAATTTTGAAATCTAAATGTTAACTAAATGCAGCACCACACAGCCAAAACATGTCCAACTGATCGATCACAGACAGACAGCCAACCACTTCCCATTAAAAGTATTTTTACTTGTTCAAACTATGCTTCCACTAAAACTCGTGGTGAAATGAAAACATAAAATTGAATGATGGAAACATCAATTTCTCATTCCAAGATTATCATAGTACCTGTCTCAAACGCAAGAGCTGCAAGATCTTCCTAGTCTTTGGATGCATGGCATTGATACTGAAAAATCATAGTTTCTTTGTGTAAGAAGCAGAATACATGGGAACTTGAGATCCATCATGAACAGATGAAACATATATCCACGAATGCGAATAATAAATAGAAGTTTAGCTTCTGGATCAACAAAAAATCCACCTTTAAGCCTTGCCTCACGTTTCAATCTAATTAATTCCTTCTCCTAAACAACCAAATTTATGATGAAAGTAAAGGGCAAAAATCAGGCGCCACCATAAATGAGGACAATCAACCAAGAAAAAAGGACTAGTGATATTTACTTGTTCCTCATACTCCTTGGCGTACAGCTTAGCTCTGTTGAAAATCAACTTACGGCTCTCTGCTCTCTTCTTCTTAGCAGCTTCAACGTCCTGTTTTTGGGTCAGTGCCCATTCCTCTTCCCTCTTGCGCTTCTTCAAGACAGACTCCGGAACGATAGCCTTAATCTCCTCACCCATCTACGAAAGAAAACAAATATACGAAATTTGATTACAATGAAATAATGAGGACGATTGAGGCTAAAACGCTTAACCATATGGGAAAATAAAGTAGACACTATCAGACTCGGACAAGATTTATTCAGAAAATTTCAGTGGTCTTAACGAGGCGACACTCAATTTGTTTCGGAACGAAAACAGAAAATAATGGTTACATTCGTCCACCTCTCAAAAACTCGTACAGCCATCTAACTTGCCCTAAATTCGAGAAAGCGAATCAAAATAATAGATAGAACCCATAAAATGAAGGGAAAAACAAACAAAACGAGTATTATCAATGCCAATTTACTCGTCCAAGCTAAGGAAAAGAAAGAAAAACTTGTTCACCAAAATCTTTCCCTTTCCTTCAAAAGTGAAATCTCTCCGATCTCATGATGACCGAGAGAGAAATCAAATTTACAATGTAACAACGTGATGCAATTAAATGATGAAACACATACACTCCGCATGTACACTGTAGATTCAGGCAACGAGAGGACCGTCAATCGATCATGGAAGCTCGAATATAGTATAATTCGGAGCCTACTCACTGAGTCTGTTCAAACGTGTGGACAAGCGCAAAGACTAGGGTTTAGAGCGGCTAATGAAGGAGGAGGATGCATCGGGCTTTTGTAGCAAGGTTCGTGAGTTGTTTATTTATTTATTTTTGGATAAGTGTGGGTTGCCATTTTAATCCACGATTCAATGCCATGGGCATTTGCGGGTTCAAATTGAGTGGTGAATACAGATCTGGCCTTTGAGCCCAGGACTAGGACATGTGACAACGCTAATGGTCTGTTTGATTGAGAAGAAAATATGAAAGAAGAAAAATATGAAAAGAACATAGGACGGAAAATAATTTTTTCCTTATTTTGATAGGAAAGAAAAAATGAGAGAAAAGAAAATGTAAGAAGAAAATAAAATGTGGGACCCATTATATTTTCTTTTTATCTTTTCTCTCCCAATGTAGAGAGATTTTGGGAGTAAATCATTTTTTTCAGCATCTACCCTTTTTCTTGCTATCATTTGTTTCACATGCCCAGACTGTCATTTTATTTTTATTTTCGCATGTCTCAGCTCGGGAAGCTCTCATCTTCGACCAACCCAGCCAAAGCATTGTTCAGTGGCTTCTTCTTCTTCTCCAGCATGTTGTAGTTGCAACTTCTGGACTCATTAAGGTTAGTTCTTTTCTTCTTCAACATCGTCTTCATTCTAGTTTGATGTTGTATCTATAGTTTTTTTCTTGCCATTAGTTTCATTCTTGTTTCTTTAACACTCAGCGCACCTTTTTTGCCCATATTTGTAAAATTTTAATTTGATGAACAAGGGGACAAAAAGTAAGATAGAAATTCTGCAACTGATCGATTTGAGTTCTACCTCGTCATTTTTCCGTTCCATTGTAGATCATTTAGTAAAATTTACAAGAAGGAGATGCTAATTCTTTTTACTTCTCAATTTGGTCCTTTCGTCTTCTTAGGATAATATAAAAGTAATGAATGATTTTGTTGGACTAATTTCACGATATTGGATTATGTGTTATTCAATTCTTTATACCTGACCAGCGTGAAGTTTTTCCATGGCCCTTTTTTTTATTTTGCCTAATGTGGAGATATTATATTTATATAAATCTAGCAAAAGTACCTCTTATTCATCCTTTATTTAATTAGAATGGAATGAGTGATTGATTATGAGACACCTCTTGTTAATGATTTATTTATATAAATTTGGTAAGAGTACCTCTTGTTCATGGCCACAAATCCTATTTGAATTGTTGCTTAGACAAACTGATATAAACTAGCCTTATACCACCAAGACAAATAAAAATACCTCAATCTTTTTTTTCACCTTACCTTAACTTAGACTTTTTATTGAAAAAAATTATGACACGACAAAAGGGTAACTAATAATCAATAGCGTTGGCTGCTAGGTAATGGTTAGTTTTCTTACTTCCATTCCGTTTTCCCTATAGAAAAGTAAAGAAGCAGAATGCTAAAGGAGACAAAAATAACAGGATAGGTTAAGCTATCACTGAGAATCATCTAGCCCACCGAATTTAAATGGTTTGGCAATTAATCCACACTAATTTCCATCATTTAACTAATAAGTATTGCTCCAATCTTGACAATCTTTTTGAAACTGCATTGCTTGAGACATAAAGTGTAACAATCTTTTCTTCAACTTGAATGCTCAAATTACTACATTTTCATGTCTTTAAAATCTAGTTGACTCTCAACTACTTGATTATTGACACAACCAAGATGCTTTCCACCTTTGAGATCTTGCCATGTTTGTCATGTTGCAGTATCATTAATTGGCATACCTTATAATTGTAGTGATAATGAGGTTTTTGACAGAATTTGTTCTACTAGTCAGTGAGGGATAAGACACCTAGAGATTTGACTTTATAAACTGTCCAACAAAATTCTAATAAAAGAAAGAAAACAAGCATAGCTCTTGATAATATCCCACATTAATTTTTCATGTCAATGTCTTGCTATTTAGGTCTAAAATTTTGAGACATGTAAGTTGTAACAACCTACAGAAGGCAAAGCTATCTCTAAGCCTCAAGTATTTGCAAGGGAGAAAAGCAATAACATTTGTATGCAAATAACATTCATGTCAGTAGGCAGATGATTACAGTTACAGGTCACAAATCTCTACAACATGCTATATGGTATAACTACTATATAATGTTTCCATTTTTTGCTCATAGTATTTTCTGTTCCTTTTACTTTAAGAAGAAATAATAGATGGATACTTTAGTTGATTATCTCATTGATTTTTCCTTTACTGAATCGCATATGAAATGGACATATCTATCCAAATTATAATAATCCCTTTGAATGGGAATGAAGCCTCTATAATTTCATACTTTATTTAATTATTGTTCTTTATTTATTGTATCTTTGAAGCTCATATCATAGCAACTAATTAGTTCATGGCTACCATATTCTAAGTTACTTTTTACATACTCATTGCAACTTTGTATCAATGTATGGTTGTGTGGTTTTTATATAGATAAGCAAGCATAATAGTGAAGGAATGATCAAGGATATTGAGGAAGACTTTATGGATTTTGAGTTTGAAGTTAAAAGGTTGATTGATTTTGAAGTGGCTAATGGAAGTTCTATGGACTTGAGCCTTGTGTTAAAAGATTAGGAACGTCGTAGGCATATGTGTATTGTACAAATTGTTTGTATGATTGTACATGTAATTTATTTGTTGGGAGAGATTTCAAGGCTAGTTAATAAGCCTATGAGTGATGGTAATGTTCAAAGAGAGAGCATGAGGAGAATATTCATGTAAAAATTACAAGACACAAAACAATGTCATGATGTTCTTCACATGGGACCACAAGCATTGCAATTGTGTGAGAAACTTCGAAATACTGGCATAATTAAGGATTCTCGAAATGCTACAATTGAAGAGCAAGTGGCAAAATTTCTTCACGTATTAGGACATAATGTAAGAAATAGAACAATGGCTTTTTTCTTTAGCCGATCTAGGGAGACTATTAGTCGTCATTTTCATGTATTACAAGCTATTATTTCTCTTGAGGCTGAATATCTTGTGCAACCCTCTGGGTCAACAATTCCTCCTGAAATTCTGACTAATGAAAGATTTTACCCGTATTTTAAGGTAAGTTTTTATATTTGTGCATAATGTTAAAATTTTCTATTGTGTATATGTATAAATGACACCATTATTTTTATACTAGGATTGCATTGGAGCTATAGATGAAACTCATGTTCGAGCAAAAGTACCTAGAGAAGAAGCTGGTCGATTTCAAGGATGTAAAGATTACCCTACTCAAAATGTATTTGCTGCATGTTCATTTGATATGAAATTTACTTACGTATTGGCTAGATGGGAAGGAACAATCTCATATTCAAGAATCTTAAAAAATGCTTTATCAAGAGAGGATAAACTTATAATTCCCCCAGGTGAATAAGTAGCTATTATATATTATAAATTATTGTTTGCTTTTATTAACTAAAAATTCTTATAGATTAATTTATATTGTTTAGGGAAATTTTATCTTGGGGATGTTGGCTTCCCACTTAAGCATGGTCTAATAATACCTTACAGAGGAGTACGATATTATTTGAAGGAATATTCAGCAAGATCACCACAAACTGTAAGAGAAATTTTCAACCATAGACATGCATCATTAAGAAATGTTATTGAAAGAACATTTGGTGTTTTGAAAAAAAAATTTCCTATAATTGGTAGTGGCACCGAGCCACATTATGCTTTTGAGACTATGGTTGACATTGTGATAGCTTGTTGCATATTACACAATTATTTGATGGGTGTTGACCCTGATGAGAATCTAATAGCTCAAGTTGATCATGAACTATCACGCAACCATGACATGGATGATCAAGTTGCATCCAATCAAGAGGATGATTATAGACAAGGATCAAATTTAAGAGATAATATAGCAGCTCATATGTGGCATGACTATTTAACCCATATGAATCATGAATTGTGATTCAAACTATTTGCTTGAGATGTTGCCTTATATTACTTGAAAGTATGTGTTTCAATGTATTAGTTTGAAGTGTGTGTTGGCCTTGTATTTGTTTAAGTACAATAATATTTATTTTATACATTAAGCATTTGAACAATTGCTTATTACTTAATTATAATAATTGCTTGCTTCTTAAATAATGTATGCACATTTTTCATGTAGATTGAACAATGGCATCAAAAAGGAAGAAATCAATAAAGGACAATTTGCATTGGACTCCTGAAATGGATGAAAAATTCATTGATGCCTTATTGGAAGAGACAATGAAAGGAAATCGTCCTAATGGTACATTTTCAACATTTACATATGATAACATGGTGGAGACTCTTAATAGTTCCTTTGGGTCTCACATCATAAAACAACATTTGAAGAATAGAAAGAAGACATTGTCACAAAGATTTTCAGATCTTTATGATTTATTTTATGGATTGAGTGGATTCTCATAGAGTCCTATCACAAAATTGTTTGAAGCAGATAATTAAATTTGGAATGATTTGATCGAGGTGAGTAATCTATTTATATTTAATCTATTTATGTTAATAGAATGAATATTTGGATTATTTGATTAAGATGAGTAGTCTATTTATGATGCCATATCTCTTTTTTTGTTTGTAGAAAAAGCCAAATGCAAGAAAGTGGAAGAATACACCTGTATTACATTATGACAAATTGTATGAGCTATGCAGTGCAAATAGGGTAATAGGAAAATATGCTAAAAGTGCTAAGGAAAGGGTTGCCCAATGGGAGCAAGAGGGCAATCAATTAAATGACTCTATTGCAGATGTAACTAATTGTAATTATCAACACAAGTCACCAAATTCACTAGTTAACTTGGAGTATAGCCTAACATATGGGGCATCAGTAGGAATTACATCAGGCAAAGGATAAAAGCATAAGGCTTCAATGGTTGAAGCTATTGAAGAAAGGTGTGAAAAAATGACAACAGAAATAATGGAACTGATTGATGTCATGCGAGATGAGAATGGTGTTGCTGAGAGGGAAGTTCAAGCTTCGAGAGGCAAGTTCAAGTTGCTGAGAAGCAGGCTTAAGTTGCTGAGAAGGGTCTTTCAATACTTGAAAAGAGTAGGCATCGTCATTATAGTGAAGAGGAAGTGTGGCTGCAATTGAGGAGATTGGAGTGCTTGAAGAGAACAAAGAAAAATGTTACTTCTTCTTATGTGATGATGAGAAATGTAAGAGAACTTTCTTTGGGATTCCACAACATAGGCGATTACGGATATTCCTTAATATGATGACCAGAGCTGGAGTTCAATGAAAAAAGTGTGGACATGGGGTTGGACTTTTTTTTGTTTATGGATAGTAGTATTTTTATTTTGTGGTGACATGTTGGCCTTTTTGCTTAGAAAATAAATATATTATATCATGCTTTTCGGACTTGTTAGTCTCTTTATTTAGTGAACATATATATTTTGTCATGATGCTTATGATGTATTGACAACTTGACCATAGTGTTTATAATATTTCATTATCAATGTGTTGGAGATTTTGTTTCTATAAGTATAATGTTTTATTTTATCAGTGCCCACTTTTGATTTTAAAATATAAAAATAACATATTTTTACTAAATTATTTGATTTTAAAGTATAGTGCAAAAATACATTTTTAACAAAATAATTTGATTATAAATTAATTTTATTATGTTAATTTTAATATAATTTCAGCTTTCAATTTATTTTTACAAATATAATTACATGAAACATGATATATTTTGATATAAGGGCATTATAGTCATTTTGATATCTGCTCATTTTCTTTCCTCCCTATTTTCTCCTTTTCATCCAAACAGGAGGAGTGATAATATTTTCTTTTCAGTTTTTTTTCCTTCCATCTTCTTTCCTCTTTAACTTTTTTCTCCATCCAAATGGAGGGTAAGGTAAGCTCTTTATATATATATAAATATATATATATATATATAAAGGATACTTAATTCTAATTTTTGAGATATTTTTTATAATTTTTAAATTAACTAATAGTTAAAATTAACTTATTTTTAAGAATAGGTGCTCAATGAACCGTTTTTAAATACTAAAGAGAGAAATTATACAACATGAAAATTTAAAATACCAAATGCTGTTGAGCGAATAATTGATAAGCAAAAATATCTTTTAACCCTTTACTTAATATACTTTTATTCAATTAAATTAAGATAGGTTAATTTCAATATATTAATAATATTAATAGTAAGAATTTGTTATAAAATAAAATAATCTACAGAAATCAGCATGTTTTGATTTAATTACAAACAAATATAAAGTTAAGTGTGTGTGTATAAGGTTTCCCTTAATTTAATAAACTGTACGTAGTGAGTTTGACTACAATAACATAATAGTGAGCTAATCAATGATTTGCTTTAGAGTAATAGTAGAACATCATAGTTATTGTTGGGAATTGACAGTGAGTGTTGGCAAAATGGGGATAGAAGAAATGCACGTTATGTTACATCCTAACTCAAAACATTAAAAATTTCAAACTCAAATTTATAGATCATTTATTTTATTTTATATTAATTATTAAATTTAATTTAAATAAAATTTGATTTTGACATCATTTGTTAGGAATGAGAAGAGACAAAATGAAAATGGGGGAAATGAGAAATGGGCAAAGAATAATGAAAAGATATTACATTTTAACTTAAAATTTAAAGATTTAAGTTTACGAGACATTCATTTTTATTTATATTACTTATTAAGTGAAATAGATATGAGACTTTCCACATAATTTTAGCTTGAGTCCATTGACACTTGGACATCCTCACCTATGATGCACATATATGATATATGAATTGGATATGATACGTATTTGATATGTCGATACTCTCATTTCTTAAAAAATATAGGATATGATACATATCTGATACGTACATATATATAATACATAAAAAGCATTAAAAATATAATTTCAATTCAAAACATATACAAACTAGTATACTCATATCATCTTTTACAATAATACCAAATAAATATAGCCATTAATTATGCTTTTATTTTATTTCCACCTAACTGCCCTTTGCCTAATCCCTTCTAATAATTATCTACTTAGGGTTTATATGACAAAATATTACTTTTTCTGTTTCAAATTATAAGACATTTTTAAGTAAAATTGTACATACCAATAAATCTTATTAAATATACTTACCAACCTTATTTTTCAAAATGAAAATATAAAATTCTAAAAATATCCTTCATTTAATAATCTTAAATCTACACTTAATTAGTATTAAATAGAGAGAGATAAAGTGTAATATTGAAATAAGCCTATTTAATGAAATCTTAATCTTCTCAAAGTATCTTATATTTTGAGATAACAAATTATCTCCAAAAGTTTCTTATAATTTGAAATGGAGGGAGTACATTCCCACATTTTATAGTTAAGAAAATAGAATTTTTATTTATTCATTATATCTAAAATTTATTTTTGAGAAAAATCTAATCTTTGATTTTAAAAACAAATCACAAAAATATATTAGAAATAAAATATTAATATTGCAATATTTTAAAAAAATTTAATATCTCAAAAATAACTTTGAAGTATCAGTTTTAAAGTATCGGCTTATAATATAGAAGTATCTGATACGTATTAAAAATTATTTTTAAAAAATTAAAAAAATATTTTGATACTTTTGCAAATACTTATTGAATGTATATCAATAAATATACCTGAAAGCAATTTAAAATATTGGTGCTTCATAGATATTAAGAATTACAGTAGTTTATTATGTATGAGGTTCGCTCCTATCCTCCTGCCTATTGCCTCTCCTTCTCTTCTCTTAAGTTCCCTACTCTTGGATTTCAATTCAACGGTTGATATTATTATTATTATTATTATTATTATTATTATATTAAATAATAGATAGAGTCAAGGTACGTAAAACCGGACCGGTCATTAAACCGGTCATGGCACTGGGTCACGGGTTAGTGATTCAATCAGGGTTGAACCGGGGGTTGAACCGGTGGCAAACCGGTCATGATTAAAATAATACAATTTAAATAAAAAGACATTAATTATAAAAACATTCAACCAAATCCAACCACTCAAAAGTCTAACAATAATAAAATACTATATTTTTGGACTTAGCATACTCTATCTCTAATTTTTTATTTTTTGACTTTAATTTTACTTTTTTTTGTTATTTTTTTCCGAACTCAGAGCTGTGAAAAATTAAAAATGAAAAAAAAATCAAAAACGACGTCGTTTTGGGGTAAAAGTCTGAAAAATATTAACCCGGTTAACCCAGTCAACCCACCGGGTTATCCGGGTTATACCGGGTTGAACCCGGGTTGACCGGGTTACACCGGTTCACTCCCTCACCGGGTTAAGTGCAAACCCAGACCGGACAGGGGACCGGTTCACCGGTTTCCGGATTGACCCGGCCGGTCCGGTCCGGTTTTCAATACCATGGATAGAGTCCATCAAATGGACACACAAACCAAAAAAAACGAACAAACAAAACCAGCGTTCTCCATGCAGATTTCCTTATCCAACGTACGTTAGAGTAAAAGGAAAAAAAAAAAGCATGTATACAAAAATGATTCACTACCTTTCAGAAGTCAATCTCACACCTCACGAAAACCAAACGAGAATTCAAATTAATAATAAAACAAAGTACTGTAAGCATGTCACCTGCATTAAAATTGTCAAGATATTAGCTATTTAGTCCAATGATGAGGCATCCAAGCAGTGATGGATTTAGAAAAATTTATTGACGGAGCAATATTTATACCAAATGTAAATATTAATATTTTTTAAAAAAATATAATTTTAAGTAATAATTAAAGTAATATATAAATAAATTATATGAAAAATTTAAAATATATCTTAATTTCATTTACATCATAAATTTATTTTTATTATAAATAAAAAGTAAACAATATTTTTAAATATGCATGCTTGATAGTTTTAAAGAAAATGTGGGGCAATTGATTTGGGCAATTGCAATTTTA